CCTCGAGATTCTATTAAACATTTTAAACTCAAAACAGTAGCAGCCCTTGGGATTCTTTCAAACTTCTTCAAAATGAAAATACCAGGAACCACCGAGATTCTATCAAACATTTTCATACTCGAAATACTAGGAGTCCCTGAAATTCTTTCAAACTGTGCCAAACTTAAAACACCAGGAGCTCCTGAGTTTCTTTAAAACATGTTCAAAATCATAACACTAGAAGCCCCTGAAATTCTTTCAAAATTGTTCAAAATCAAAAACCAGAAGCCTTCGAAATTCTTTAAACTTTTTCGGAAGCAAAACACTTGGAGTCCATGAGATTCTTTAAAACTTTTTAAGAATTAAAACACTAGGAAACTCTGTGCTTCTTTCAAACTTTCGAAAATCAGTACACCAGGAGGCCCCGAGATTATATCACACTTTTCTAAAATCAAAACACTATGAACCTCTAAAATTTTTTTCAAACTTTTTCAAAATCAAAACACCAGAGGCTCCTGAGATTTAAACATTTTCAAACCTCAAAACAGTAAGAGCACTGGGATTCTTTCAAACTTTTTCAAAATCAAAACATCAGAAGCTTCCGAGATTCTATTAGACACTTTCATACTAAAAAACAATAGGATTTGAGATTCTTTAAAACCTCTTCAAAATTATAATACTAGAAACCTTTGAGATTCTTTTGAACATTTTCATAATCAAAACACCAGGAGGCCCCGAGATTCTATTAAACATTTTAAACTCAAAATACTAGGAGCCCCGAAATTCCTTCGAATTGTGTCAAGATTAAAACACCAGGAGCCTCTGAGACTCTTTAGAACTTTTCCAAAATCATAGCACTAGGAACCCTTGAGATTCTTTCAAGTTTTTTCAAACTCAAAACACTAGGGTCTTCTGAGATTCTTTAAAACTTTTTGAAAATCAAAACTTCAGAAGCCTCCGAGATTTTATTGGACAATTTCAAACTCAAAAACAATAGGAGCCCCTGAGATTCTTTAAAACTTCTTCAAAATCATAACACTAGGAGCCCTTGAAATTATTTCAAACTTTTTCAAAATCCAACCAACAGAAGCCCCTGAGATTTTTAAAAATTATTCAATATCAAAATACCAGGAACCACCGAGATTCTTTCAAACATTTTCAAACTCAAAACACTAGGATCCCCTGAAATTCTTTTAAACTGTGTCAAAATTAAAAAAACCAAAAGCCCTTGAGATCTTTAGAACTTTTTCAAATTCATAACACCAACCCTTAAGATTCTTTCAAATTTTTTCATACTCAAAACACTAGGGGCCTCTGAGATTCTTTAAGAATTCTTCAAAATCATAACGCTAGGAGCCCTTGAGATTCTTTCGCACTTTTTGAAGATCAGACTAACAGAAGCCCCTAAGATATATAGGAGTTATTCATAATCAATATCCCAGAAGTCGCCGAGATTCTATTAAACATTTTCATACTCAAAACAATAGGAGCCCTTGGAATTCTTTCAAACTTTTTCAAAATCAAACCAACAGAAGCCCCTGAGATTTTTAAAACTTATTCAAAATTAAAATACCAGGAACCACCGAGATTCTTTCAAACATTTTCAGACTCAAAACACTAGGAGCCCCTGAAATTTTTTCAAACTGTGTCAAACTTAAAACACCAGGAGCTCCTGAGTTTCTTTAAAACATTTTCAAAATCATAACACTAGAAGCCTCTGAAATTCTTTCAAAATTGTTCAAAATCAAAAAGCAGAAGCCTTCGAAATTCTTTAAAACTTGTTCGTAAGCAAAACACTTGGAGTCCCTGAGATTCTTTCAAACTTTTTAAGAATTAAAACACTAGGAAACTCTGTGATTCTTTGAAACTTTCGAAAATCAGTACACCAGGAGGCCCCGAGATTATATCACACTTTTCTAAAATCAAAACACTATGAACCTCTAAGATTTTTTTCAAACTTTTTCAAAATCAAAACATCAGAAGCCTCCGAGATTCTATTAGACATTTTCATACTAAAAAACAATAGGATTTGAGATTCTTTAAAACCACTTCAAAATTATAATACTAGAAGCCTTTGAGATTCTTTTAAACATTTTCAAAATCAAAACACCAGGAGGCCCCGAGATTCTATTGAACATTTTAAACTCAAAATACTAGAAGCCCCGAAATTCCTTCGAACTGTGTCAAGATTAAAACACCAGGAGTCTCTGAGACTCTTTAGAACTTTTCCAAAATCAAAGCACTAGGAACCCTTGAGATTCTTTCAAGTTTTTTTAAAACTCAAAACACTAGGGTCTTCTGAGATTCTTTAAAACTTTTTCAAAATCAAAACTTCGGAAGCCTCCGAGATTCTATTGGACATTTTCAAACTCAAAAACAATAGGAGCCCCTGAGATTCTTTAAAACTTATTCAAAATCATAACACTAGGAGCCCTTGAGATTACTTCAAACTTTTTCAAAATCCAATTAACAGAAGCCCCTGAGATTTTTAAAAATTATTCAATATCAAAATACCAGGAACCACCGAGATTCTTTCAAACATTTTCAAACTCAAAACACTAGGATCCCCTGAAATTCTTTCAAACTGTGTCAAAATTAAAAAACCAGAAGCCCTTGAGATTCTTTAGAACTTTTTCAAATGCATAACACCAACCCTTAAGATTCTTTCAAATTTTTTCAAATTCAAAACACTAGGGGCCTCTGAGATTCTTTAAAAATTCTTCAAAATCATAACGCTAGGAGCCCTTGAGATTCTTTCGCACTTTTTGAAGATCAGACTAACAGAAGCCCCTAAGATATGTAGAAGTTATTCATAATCAATATCCCAGAAGTCACCGAGATTCTATTAAACATTTTCATACTCAAAACAATAGGAGCCCTTGGAATTATTTCAAACTTTTTCAAAATCGAACTAACAGAAGCCCCTGAGATTTTTAAAACTTATTCAAAATGAAAATACCAGGAACCACCGATATCTTTCAAACATTTTCGGACTCAAAACACTAGGAGCCCCTGAAATTCTTTCAAACTGTGTCAGACTTAAAACACCAGGAGCTCCTGAGTTTCTTTAAAACATGTTCAAAATCATAACACTAGGAGCCCCTGAAATTCTTTCAAAATTGTTCAAAATAAAAAACCAGAAACCTTCGAAATTCTTTAAAACTTTTTCGGAAGCAAAACACTTGGAGTCCATGAGATTCTTTCAAACTTTTTAAGAATTAAAATACTAGGAAACTCTGTGCTTCTTTCAAACTTTCGAAAATCAGTACACCAGGAGGCCCCGAGATTATATCACACTTTTCTAAAATCAAAACACTATGGACCTCTAAGATTTGTTTCAAACTTTTTCAAAATCAAAACATCAGAAGCCTCCGAGATTCTATTAGACATTTTCATACGAAAAAACAATAGGATTTGAGATTCTTTAAAACGGTACACCAGGAGGCCCCGAGATTATATCACACTTTTCTAAAATCAAAACACTATGAACCTCTAAGATTTTTTTCAAACTTTTTCAAAATCAAAACTTCAGAAGCCTCCGAGATTCTATTAGACATTTTCATACTAAAAAACAATAGGATTTGAGATTCTTTAAAACCTCTTCAAAATTATAATACTAGAAGCCTTTGAGATTCTTGTAAACATTTTCAAAATCAAAACACCAGGAGGCCCCGAGATTCTATTAAACATTTTAAACTCAAAATACTAGGAGCCCCGAAATTCTTTCGAACTGTGTCAAGATTAAAACACCAGGAGCCTCTGAGACTCTTTAGAACTTTTCCAAAATCATAACACTAGGAACCCTTGAGATTCTTTCAAATTTTTTCAAACTCAAAATACTAGGGGCCTCTGAGATTCTTCAAAACTTTTTCAAAATCAAAACTTCGGAAGCCACCGAGATTCTATTGGACATTTTCAAACTCAAAAATAATAGGAGCCCCTGAGATTCTTTAAAACTTCTTCAAAATCATAATACTAGGAGCCCTTGAGATTATTTCAAACTTTTTCAAAATCCAACCAACAGAAGGCCCTGAGATTTTTAGAACTTATTCAAACTCAAAATACTGAAAGTCCCCGAGATTCTATTAAACATTTTCTAACTTAAATTGTTGAAAAACCAGAAACTCTTGAGATTCTTAAAACTTTTTCAAAAGCAAAATACTTGGAGTCCTTGAAATTTTTTAAATTCTTTCCAAATAATGAATAAACAAATAAATAATTTATTTTTAAATCATTACACAGTGTAGTGTGTAAAGTGAAAAAAAAACATACAATGTAATAAAAGAAAAATTATACCAAAACACTACAGTTACTTGAACAACCAAAAAAATTCATTCTCGTCATAAAAATCGCGTTTCAGGTGGATCTCCTTGGCAACCTTTTTAAAGTGGTGTAGGGATATGGATTCACTCCTCCAGGAAGTATATTATAGAATTATATTTCCATAAAATCGGGAGTTTTGCTACACGTTGGAAAAGTGTAATAAAATTATTTCTATAGCGAGTATGACAATTATGTAAGTTAGCATTCGTCACATAGATGCTTTCGTGTTTCTTTACATAAAGCAAGGTTTCGTAAATAAATAGGCAAGGTAATGGAAGAACATCATAGTTTTTAAAGAAGCAAACCTAATAATTTAGCGCAATAACCGTCAGTGGTGTTTTCATTATTTGAAAGACAAAAATCCACACTGTTTTCCCTTTATTTAAAATAAAAATTGTAATAAGGAAATTATAATAAGAAATTTATGAAAATGAGGTGAAATCAGGTGGGATGTGGTCATTGACCACGTTGCTATAAAGGTCCATATTTGATCCGTCTGCTTTAAGCAGAACAAAAGAAATTTAGGTATAATACTCTGCGCGAGGTCAATATTTACAATTGACCCAACGACGCGAGATGCGAAATTCACTTTTTAGTGGAGAAAAATGTCAAGACCAGAATTGCGAATCGTGTCAATATCAAATTTTCACAATATTGTAAAAATCCTGAACAAAACAAGCCGCCTTCACATAACTCACCCGCGAAAAGCAGTAGTTTGGCACATTTGTTTCGCCCTTGAAGTGCGGCTTTCATCAGTGCAGTGAATCCTAAATTATTCCTAGCATCAATTTCGATTCCTCGGCACCGACTTAACAAACAGTTTAAACATTCAACTTGTCCTGAAACAAAAAATTACGTAGTCATAAATTTCGCCCAAAGAAATAGAAAAATTGTTTCAATTTTTAACTCTCAAGTAAAAAAATACACAAGCTTTAAAATAGCACTCACCAGCTTGAGCAGCAAAGTGTAACGGAGTATTGCCTTCATTATCGGGTTTATTGGGGTCCAGATTGGGCAACGGTAGTATCAGTTCCAACAGGTCTATCGACCCGTTCGATGCAACGTAGCTGAGTGCAGTCTGAAAAATATCGACTGTAATTATAATGCAACATTGGTTGAAAATAACTTCGGTGATTAGTGAAAAATCGATTTTGGGTATTCTTGAGGTTTAAAAATACGTTTTGTGTGGATGGTCGGAGTAATAAATATTAATTTGCGGGGTTTGGTTACATAACGTTGCAATAATAATATGCAAAGCAGTCACGAGTGTTTAAGACGAGAATAATAAAATGTGGCAATTAGCTGTGACACAATGGCTAATCGCTGGTGCTAAAAATAAGGAGGATTTATTGACGGGAGGCATTCCGGGGGTTATTTCGGGGGCTTTGTTGTAGCGGCTATATTTTGACAGCTCAAACGCACTCTTTTTGATTTTTGTTTATTTATTTAATTCGGTTTCGTTTGCACGAAATTTATTTTGAGCAGCAGGCCGAAAGTTATCGATTAATTATGACTGGTGTCTGACAATAGAATTACCTTGGAACTAGTAAAAATAAACCGTTTTTAGTGAATATTTGACAAGTTCACGTCTAAAGTGCTTTAAATAACTGAAATGGATGATCGCTTAAACGTGTTCTTAGTAGTTACCGGAGAAAACAAATTCAGATTATTATGCAACCTGTTGGTGAAGCGCGAAATCAGTCAAGTTAAAAAATATCTATGTTCGGGTTTCCCTAAATATTATGGTTGACCTGAAATTTTAGGCAATATTTTCAAAGAAGTATTTGCAAATTTTGTTAAATTTTTTGGTAGCCAAACGAATTTTCCATTTACTACTAACACTTTTTCTCTTCGTACCCTTCTGGAAATATATCTGAGGGCTTTGATGTTGTATCCCCTTTCCCAAGTCGGAATCTAGGCTTTGTCTATGATTTTCGTTGTACTGATTTTGGCTTTTGTTTTTACCATTTTCTTTTCCTAAGATTTTCAAAATTTTCGGTTTTAAAATGAAATTTTTAAAAAATAATCCAAAAATTGCCTATTTCATCTTTTCGATTCTGGAAAAGTGCTTGGAATTAAAAAAATGTCCTCCACAATGATTCCTACAAGTCGAAATCAAAAAAAAAATGTCCTTCAGTAATTTTCAAAACTGCTCAGAAAAAGCCAAAAATTTCTTATTGAAAACTTGAGCTTTTTGATCAGGATTTTGGAAAAGTGCCCGGAATTTTGAAAGAAATATTGCTGAGAGTCACGTCTACGAGTCTAAAAAAATGTCTGAGTAATTTACGAAAGTGCCCGGAAGAAGTCAAAAATTTTATATTCAAGATATGAGCTTTTTGGAAAGTTGCCTGAAGATAAGTACGTAGAAAATTCTACGATATAAATGTTGACAAGCTGATTCGAAAAACATAATCTGTTGATGGACTCACACCAAGATTTTCAAAATTTTCAGTTTCAAAATCAAATTTTTAAATTATTCCAAAAATTGTCTATTTCCTCTTGAAATAGTGGTTGGAATTTTCATAAACTGTTGTCGAAAATGACTTCTATAACTCGGATTCAACAAAAAAATGTCTTTCGGTGATTTTCAAAAAGGTCGGAAAAGTCAAAAATTTTTTTTTCAAAATTGCGTCTTTTGGTGGACTCACGGTAAGATTTACGAAATTTTAGGTTTCAAAATCAAATTTTTAAAATAGTTTGAAAATTTGGCCATTTCATTTTGGGGATTCTGGAGAAGTAATTGGAACTTTCAAAAAAGTTGCCAAAAATGACTTCTATGAATCGAAATCAAGAAAAATCTTTGGAATATTTTTAAAATTGCGCGGAAGAAAGTTAACAAGTGCTTATTCAAAATATTAACTTTTTGCAAAGTTGTCTGAAAGTATACAAAAAATTAAAGTGGTTGAAATTTTCATAAAATGTTGCCAAAAATGATTTCTATAAAACTAAATGAACAAAAAATTTTTGGGTAATATTCAAAATTGCTCGGAAAAAAGGTCAAAGAGTTCATATTCAAAATGCCTTTTTTGGTGGACTCAAGGTAGGACTTACAAAATTTTTGGTTTCAAAATCAAATTTTTAAAATGTCCCAACTGGGGAAATATAAATAAATATCTGGAAAATTGGGTAGAATTTTCATAAAATTTGTATTTTGATTTCTACAAGTTGACACCAACAAAAATGTTTTAATAATTTACAAAATTCGTCAGAAAAAAGTCAAAACGTTCATACTGAAACTTTTATTTTTTGGACGATTGATTAAAAATACACAAAAATTGTACAATATAATTCACGAAAATTTCTTTCGAGAAATATGCTCATAAATCCAGATTAAGATTTTCAACGTTCTCTGTTTCAAAATCCCATTTTTAAAATGATCCAAAAATAGGCATATTTCATTTTAGGCATTCTGGAAAAGTGGTTGGAATTTTCATAAAATGTTGCCGAAAATGGCTTCTATAAATTGACAAAAAAATGTCTGGGTAATTTTCAAAATTACTTGTAAAAAAGTTAAAAAATTCCTCTTCAAAACCTGAGCTTTTTGCAAAGTTGCCTGAAAATGTGCAAAAAATTCTGGGTAATAAATCTCGACGAGTTCATTCGGAAAACATGATTTTTTTTGGTGGGCCCAGAGTAAGGTTCACGAAATTTTCGGTTCCAAAAACAAATTTTTAAAATACTGGTCACAATGGCCATATTTCATTTTAGGATTTTGGAAAAGTGGTTGAAACTTTCACAAAATGTTTCCAAAAATGATTTCTATAAAACTACATTGACAAAAAAACTTTGGATAATATTAAAAATTGCTCGGAAAAAAGTCAAAAAGTTTGTATTCAAAATGACCTCTTTTGGTGGACTCAAGGTATGATTTACGAAATTTGCGGTTTCAAAATCAAATTTTTAAAACACTCCAATAATTGCATTATTTCAATTGGGGAATCTGGAAAAATTGTTGGAATTTTGCTGAAGGTCTCCAAAAATAACTGTTATAAAATAAAATCAACACAGAAGTGTCTTAGAATCGGAAAAAAGTCAAAAATTTGTCGATGGACCAAGACTAAGATTTTAAAAATTTTTGGTTTCAAAATCAAATTTCCCAAAATAGCCATGTCTCAACTGGGGGATTCTGGAAAGCTGGGTAGAATTTTCATAAAATTTTGATTTTCATTTCTACAAGTTGAAACCAACAAAAAATGTTTTAATAATTTTCAAAATTCCTCGGAAAAAAAGTCAAAAAATTCAAATTGAAAGTCTGGTTTTTGTTGGACAGTTGATTAAAAATACACAAAAAATTCCACAATATAAATCTCGGAAGTTTATTTCGAGAAATATGCTCATAAATCCAGATTAAGATTTTCAAAATTTTTGGTTTTAAAATTAAATTTTTAAAATATCCCATATATTGCCATATTTCTTCCTAGCGATTCTGGAAAGCCAGGTAGAATTTTCATAAAATGTTGCCGAAATTGATTTCTACAAGTTGAAACCAACAAAAATGTTTTAATAATTTTCAAAGTTCGTCGGAAAATAGTTAAAAAGTTCATATTGAAAATTTAATTTGTTTGGACTGTTGAATAAAAATACACAAAAAATTCTACGATATCAATCTCGGCGATTTGTTTAGAGAAATATGCTTATAAATCCAGACTAAGATTTTCAAAATTTTCGCTTTCAAAATCAAATTTTTATAATGTTTCAAAATTCACCATATTTCATCTAGAAAGCTAACCAGAATTTTCATAAAATGTTGCCAAAAACAACTTCTACAATAATGGAAATTAATCAAAAAATGTCTGGATATTTTCCAAAATTCCTCGAAAAAAGGTCAATAATTTCATGTTAACATTTGAGTTTTTTGGAACGTTGGTTAAAAATACTTTAAAAAAATCTCTACGACTTGATTCGAAAAATATGACCTACTAATGGATCTAGACTAAGATTTTCGAAATTTTCGGTTAAAAAATAGAATTTTTAAAATACTCCAAAATTTGCCATATTTCATTTTGGGGATTCTAGAAAGGTGGTTATAATTTTCATAAACTGCCAAAAATTACATGATATTCAAAATTTGAGCTTTTTTGAAAGTTGCCTCAAAATGCACAAAAAATTCAACGATATAAATATCTACGAACTGATTCGGGAAACTTTACGTGTATTTGAACCCAGATTAAGATTTTCGAAATTATTAGTTACAAAATCAAACTTTTAAAATATTCCAAAAATATGGCCATTTCATTTTGGAGATTCTGGAAAAGTGATGAAATTTTCGCAAAAAGTTGCCAAAAATGACTTCTAGGAATCGAAATCAAGAAAAATCTTTGGGATATTTTCAAAATTGCTCGGAAAAACTTAAAAAGTGTTGATTCAAAATATGAGCTTTTTGCAAAGTCATCTGAAAATATACAAAAAATTTGAGTGGTTGAAATTTCAATAAAAAGTTACCAAAAATGACTTCTATGAAACTAAATTAACAAAAAACTTTGGGTAATTTTCAAACTTGCTTGGGGAAAAAGTCAAAAAGTGCATATTCAAAATGGCCTCTTTTTTAAAATACTCCAAAAATTGCCATATTTCAATTGGGGTGTTTGGAAAAATTGTTGGAATTTTGCTGAAAGTGTCCAAAAAATTCAGCGATTTAAATCTCGACGGGCTGATTCAAAAAACGTGGTCTGTTATAAAATAAAATCAACACAGAAATGTCTTAGAATCATTTTCGAAAGTGCTCGGAAAAAGTCAAAAATTTCATATTGAAAATTTGAGTTGTTTGGAAGGTTGATTAAAAACACAAAACATTTACGATATAAATTTCGACGATCTGACTCACTTTCTACAAGTTGAAACCAACGAAAAATGTTTTAATAATTTTCAAAATTCCTCGGAAAAAGTCAAAAAGTTCATATTGAAAATTTCATTTTTTTGACAGTTGATTAAAAATGCACAAAAATTTTACCGACATAAATCTCGAAGATCTGTTTCGAGAAATATGCTCATAAATGTAGACTAAGATTTTCAAAAATTTCGATGTCAAAATCAAATTTTTAAAGTATTCCAAAATCGCCATATTAAATCTGCAAGGCT